AACAACAACAAAAATACTGTTAAGAAAAAGCACAACTATCCTAATTCTAAGACCAAAATGAAAACTCTGAAAGGGCCTCAATCAACAGGGAAAGAGAAACACAGACATACACACAAAGAATCATATCTAATACAAAATTTTCAACATAATATTAGTATTTTTTCTCCTACAATTAACCTAGCTAGGGGTTGGTTTTATTCTTTATTGAAGAGTCAGTCTGTAGATTTTATTAATCCAATCTGCCGCTTTGACATTTTATTGTTTTTGTACATATTTCATGTATTGTCCTTTTATCGTATTTGATAATGAATATATATACATACACACACACACTTTTTTTGTGTGTGAGACAGAGTCTTGCTCTGTCACCGAGGCTGGAGTACAGTGGTGCAATCATAGCTCACTACAGCCTCAAACTCCTGAGCTCAAGTGATCCTCCCACCTCAGCCTCCCAAAGTGCTGAGATTATAGGCATGAGTCACTGTACCCAGCTGGTAATGAATATATTTAAGGCTACTTTATTACTGTCAACTCACTTTGAGCCATGTCCCATTTGTTGATTATTATATTGTAAACAGGGTACAGAATTGATCTTCTTTTATCCCATTACTTAGAAAAATGATTTTTAATTTCTAAGTGGTTATACTTTTTTGTTAATACTTTCAATAGTTTTTAGTTTTATTGAGTTATAGTCAGAAAACTTTACTTTATAAAGTATTTTTCAGTGACCTAATTATGAGAAATTATTGCAAATGTTCCATCAGTTGCTGAAACAGTATATTTTCTCCTTTTGAATATGGAAGTAATAAAGATCTTTAAGTGGTCCTTATTCATAATACATTCAGATTATCTCTAGACTTAATTATTTCTGCCTATTTAACCTCTTAAATTACATTACTGGACTCCATTCTTGACTCCCTGTTTCCATGCCTTTTGGTGAATGAGGCACGATTCCCTCCCTGGGCGTGGCCATGTGCCTTGCTTTGCCAATAAGTAAATATGACGCAAACAGAGACTTGAAAAACGTTTGCACAATTTAGCTTGCCCTGTCTCTTAAATTGCTGCCACTGCTACAGGAACATAACCAAGCTGGCCTGCTTGAAGATAAGAGTAAAGTTGAGAGACATGGAACAGAGCTGAGTCATTTCATTCTTCCCAGCAGAAGTCAGGCTTTATCAGCTGATCCCAGCCAACCTCCAAATACGTGAATAAGCCTAATTCACTGGAGCCTTCTAGCTGACACCTCTTCCTCTACCACTGCTTGTTTACTGTGGTGTACTCCTAAAGCAACAGATATCTCGTATGCTTGTCACCAAACAGAACAAATGTCCTTACAACTACTGTGTGGGTTTGATTTTGTTTCTAAATATCCCTGTATTTCTAATAATTTTGGCTTAACACATTTCAAATCTGTACATAAACATGCATGATTACTATATCCCAATTATAGACAGTAATCTCTCCTAAATTGAAAAAAAAACTGCCTTCTGACTCTCATTTAGGGGAAACTTGTGCCTTGAATTCTGCTTTATTAAAATTGTAGTCTCTGTTCTTACTTAATTTGCATCTGTCTGAAAAATAATTTTCCATCTATTTAAAAATACTTACAAAAACAGTTCATGCTCTAGTAAAAAGGAATTTAAGGAGATAAAACAGTTCATGCTCATGGTTCAAAAAATTTTTTTAACACAGCACTGTACAAAACACAGTATAAATACTTTGCATTGCTCCATATCTACAGCAATCATTTATTTTTAAGTTTTCATAATCACTTTGAGCTATTTTCCAGTTACCAGCATTCAAAGCAGTGCCCATTACATGGAGAATATTTAAAAAACATGGGGAGAAAATGGATGGCCTGTTGATTTAAGTTTACAGTATACCAGTTCAACAATATATAGCAGGCTACAGAATGAACAGAGAGCTGTGGAAACAGAAGCAGAAGTGATGTAGCAGCTGAAGAAGTAAAGTGTGAAGTGTCATATCTACAAGGTTGTGTCGTTATAGTAAATCTATTGTCCTGTTTCTATAGCTATATGTGATCTATCACTTTATCCAAGTGTGGCCTTCTCCAGACTCTTTCTCTTACTATTGTCCATAATAAAAAGACTGTTACCACTTCAGACACTTATCACTTGCTTTTTTTCCCATTAGTCTCTTAGAGTAGCTTTCTATGAATAGTACTGACATGTAACAGTGAAGAGGGCTTCAAAGTAGATTTCTATCTATCAATTCAAAGCACATTCTGCCTTCAATTCTTGCTCTCTCAAGTTATGAGGTGTCAGTAAGCCAGGATTTTGTCCTCTTACTCAGAATAACACCCCAGAAAAAGTAATTTTGAGATAATGTCAATTCTTAGCATTTCCTTTAATCTGCTCCAAAAACACTAGGATGGTACACTTCTTCAGTTTGTCACACTAGTACAAGTTTTCTCTCCATTCTTATATGGTTCTGGTCATCTGGTCACTTACAACAAATAATTTCAAAATTTTCTAACCTTGATTCACAGTATAAAATCTATTTTTACATCAAAATCCAGTAAACAAATATACATATGCATGTACTCAAACAAAAACTGGAGGAGAAAAGGTTTCCTGAAGCAGTATTTAACCTTACTATGTGCAATGAACTATTATTTTTTCTACTCTACTGATGTTTTGGGTTTTCTTCCCCCCTCAGCTAGGTATCATCTAGCTGATTTCCATTACCACTAATAAATCATGACTGGCATTTGAAAAATACTGATTTGA